TGACTGCCTGCTTCTGTGAAGATTTACACAGCGTTGAGAACTCTACTGGGCAAATATGCTCTGTCCTTCAGGATCACCAAGTCTCAGAATTGACTCAAGAACAGGGAGTCTGGCTTTGATTTGGGGGGCACTGAAAAAGCAGCTCTGGTGAGGCAATGATTAACTTCTTCTAACTGAAAGACTGGTGGTTCGAACTCACAGCCTCTCAGATGGAAAAAGATGTGACACCTGTGTCAGTGAAAACACCAACAGGAATGAGGGGCCAGATCTACTCGGTTCTAAAGGCTCACAAGGAGTTAGAATTCACTTGACAGCAAAGAGTTTGCTTTGGAACTTTCCAACAGCGTTAAAACAAAAGAAAAATGGTGTTGATGTTAAAAAATTGGATAATAAAATAATCATATAATTTATGAATGGTTAGAAGCTAAAATGTAATTAAAACATCAAAGCTGAAATTTAGATAAAAATATCAAACTAATGCATGTCATACAATATTTGATTCAGCACTAAAAATAATCCACACATGTATATCTCAGTAACCAGCATATGGTTGTCAATAAACTTTGGCTAAATGAGCAGAACTGATTCTTTAATTGTTTTCAATGGGTCATAATTTTTTCTAAAACAAAATGCCTTGCTGGAGTCAGTGACTATTATTTCTTTAAGATGGTAAAATTAAGTCTCATAATATCAATATGAAAACCAACTTGACATCATTGCATTGATTCTGACTCATAATAATCCTATAGGACAAGAGAGAACTGCCTCATAGTTCAAGGCCATAATATTTACAGAAGCCAAGTGCCAACTTTTCCCACCAGGGAGTGACTAGCAGATTCAAACCACCAACATCTTAGTTAGCAGTTCAGCATTTAATAACTCTGCCATCAGGGTTCCTTCTATAGCAAGGTAATTGTTTTTAAATGTCCTTGATTTCTAATAAATTACACTGAAAACAAAACATAATTTTTAAAAGATGTACACTTAAAGCCTGTTCATTACAATGTTTGTTTCACTGAGAAGCAGGGGAAAAAATGTGAAAAGTAAAATAAAAACAAAAATAAGGATACAAGCACCATATCTAAGATCAGATACCAAACACTAAATCAAGACAGATCAAAAGTTAGGGTTAGGTTTTAGATTATATAAAACTTAAAACTATAAAGATCATCAAATTAAAAATAGGGACAAAGTTAGATGTCATAATTTATAATCTAAACTACTAATCTTAACCAAAGAGCAAAGGGTAAATTAGAACAATGTGATTTTCAAACATAAAACTCTCATCTGGATCAAAATAATTCTTCAAAAGAGTTATAAATGGACCTACAGTTTGGGGAAAATGTTTAGCAATTACACATCAGACAAGGAAGGGACTACTCTCTGAAATTTAAGGAAAGTTTAAGCATCCAAATAAACATAAAACAATCTAATTTTTAAATGGGCAGAGATCACAAATGACATTTCACAAAACATACCCAGGCAACCAAAAAACATGAGGAAACACTCTTCTTTATTAGCCATTAATAAGCAAAGAGATGTAAATCAAAAC